AATTCCATTAGGATGATACTTGCAATAGCTTCCTTGCGGAACTTAGAAGTACATCAAATGGATGTGAAAACAGCTTTCCTTAATGGAGATCTAGAAGAAGAGATCTACATGGAACAACCAGAAGGGTTTATAGTTCCTGGTCAAGAAAGGAAAGTATGTAAACTTGTTAAGTCATTATATGGTCTTAAACAGGCGCCAAAAGTATGGCATGAGAAGTTTGACCAGGTAATGATGAACTCTGGGTTCAAAATTAATGAATTAGACAAGTGTGTTTATCTAAAAAACACATCCCAAGGGTATGTCATGTTGTGTCTATATGTAGACGACATACTCATAGTTGGTAGAGATGACAAGATGGTCAAGTCTACCAAAGACATGTTAAACTCGTGATTTGACATGAAAGATATGGGTCTGGCTGAAGTAATTCTTGGAATTAAAATTGTGAGAAGACCTGGGGGTCTAGCACTGAGCCAATCCCATTATATTGATAAAATCCTTGACAAGTTCAATAAGGATGATAGTAGCAAAGACGCCGTTGGACGTCAATGCTCACCTGGCTAAAAACCGAGGTTCCAGTAACTCTCAAATCGAGTATGCGAGAGTTATTGGAAGTTTGATATATCTAATGAGTTGCACTCGACCAGATTTAGCCTGTGCCATAAGTAAGCTGAGTAAATACACCAGTAATCCGAGTGATGAGCACTAGAAGGCTATTGTACGTGTGATGAGATACCTGCGGTATACACGTGACTATGGATAATGCTACTCGAGTTATCCACCGGTATTGGAAGGATACTCGGATGCGAATTGGATATCTGATAGTAAAGACTTGAAGTCCACAAGTGGATATGTCTTTACGCTAGCGGGTGCAGCAATATCCTAGAAATCCTTAAAGCAAACAGTGATTTCTAGGTCCACTATGGAGTCTGAGTTTATAGCTCTAGACAAATGTGGAGAGGAAGCTGAATGGCTACGCCACTTCCTAGAGGACATTCCAAGATGGGATAAACCGGTCCCACCAGTTTGCATCTATTGTGATTGTCAATCAGCAATAGGACGTGCAAAGAGTAATATGTATAATGGTAAGTCTACACATATTCGTCGTAGACAGAAAACCATTAGACAACTTCTCACAACTAGGATTATCACAATTGACTATGTGAAGTCAAAAGATAATCTGGCGGATCCGCTAACCAAAGGGTTAACAAATGAGTTGCATGAGAAGTTGGTGGCGGGAATGGGTCTGACGCCCTTGTGCTAGGACAGTCCTATGAAGGAAAACCCAACCTGGCTGGTACCCAGGTTCAATGGGACAACCTAGTTGTAGGATAAAGCGTGGTCACTGTGGGGGCGGTACCGGAACCTTCGGTCAGTCCCTTCTGTTCCTGCTGAAGACAGTGACTCCCGAAAATGATGAGGTTAGCATATAAATATGCTTTAATGATTCTTAACCAATAGACACGGTGGTCTAAGGGGAGTAATCGAGATACTCTTAAAGAATCACCTATGTAAGAGTGAAGTGTGGTCGCTTCAAACGGAGGATCTTGGGCTTAATCCTCTAAAAACTCTCGCAGAACCAGGCGCGTGTCCCACGACCAAAATGGGCACAACCATGAGAACAGAATGACGTTTGGTTGGAATCTGTGTATGGTATACTATCGTTTACACAAGCGGCAGTACAGTTCAAAGACATCGCGTTCTACTGAATAGCCAGTAAAGAAGATATACTTTACAAGGGACAGGTTCAAAAGTGGAGACACTTACCTGTTCTTTGCAGTTTTTCAATCATGGGATGTTGTCGACCCCAAATCAATTTTTCATTCATGTGGGGGATTGTTGGAATTTTTGCCGTTTTAATTGGCATTAAATGGACCAATTTGGGTATATTTGTCAATAGGTCCACTAACGGTTTTAACCATTAATTAATGGACGTGTGTTCTCTTAAATGAGATAAATGTTTTGACAATTTATACGCCAAAAATGGTAGAGGGTGAATGAGAAATTGATTCTCAGAGTTAACCCGTTAATAAAAGAATATGGTGAGGATTGCAATTTTTGCAATTTTATTGAACCAATCTTCTTTTATTAATTTACGTATTGTTTAAAATTAGTCCATTTTTACGGAGTTAACTGGCCATTAATCTCCAATTATTCGGGACAAATTTTAAACGGAGCGTAGCGTAACGGACGTGTTAATGGCTAATTAATCACCATTAACACACCACAAATGCCATGATTAATTCCATGGGTTAATGGTGTAGGAGTTACAATTTTTTAAACTCCTTTATTATAAAAATCAAAGCTCTCTCAATCATTTTGGTGTGTGCCTTGCGTGGGGAAGAGAGAAAGAAAAGAGAAAACACTTTATTATTTTCTTTTTGAGAGAGCTCTTGATTTTCCGGCCAATTTTTCCGGCAACCCCTTTAAAGTTTTTGGTCATCAACGTTCCTACGTTGTTCTTGTTCGTTGGTGTGTGGTTGGTCTGTACAATCTCCACACACGATAGCGGTTTTATCCTGGGAGGAGAGTCCCACGTTTTTCCGGTACGGTAGGCGGGCACTACTACCTTAAAGACAGCTCCGGCGACTCCGCTGTCCTTCCACGGTGTTGTGTTTTGCAGGTTCAGTTCATAAAGACCTCGCCGCGTTCTGTCATAGTGCATAATGTCCTCGCAACCCAGTGCATAATGTCCTCGCAGCCCTGTGCATAACGTCCTTGAATCACTGTCCAGTGCTTAAAGACCTTGCTGTCCAGTGCTTAACGTCCTCGCTGTCCAGTCCTTAATGTCCTCGTAGAACAAGGCCGTTTGAAGATATAGAGATTTATTTTCAACTTTATTTATTTTGTAATATTTTGAATAAATTATAAATTCAAAATTTTATTTATTATTTATTTCCGGGGCCGTTCATCTTCCCGTCCGTTGTAATCCGTACAAGAGTTGTAACAACAAACACAAGGGCTATTATGTATTTATGTTGGCACCTTGAAGGCTAGGGCAACACCCATTCATGCATATATGTTGTGTAATGGAGCAGGTTGGGGTGTGTGGGCGAGGAGGGACGTGAGCACCCTCCTTCACACCTCATAGGCATGAGACAAAAATAGAAAGCAACACGATGACATGGAGTATATTCATGACGCTACATTTTACACTGATAATTGCGATGATGACACATTGAGTTTATTTTACGATTGACGCTACATTTTACACTGATAGCCATATCACATAATATTAATTTAAGCTTATCACAACTTATTTCGAAAATAAAAATATGAAACTCTTATTTTAGTATATTTAATTTGTAATATTTTTACTTTTACTTTAGTCTTTTTCTCTTTTTAGTATATATAAATTTTGTAATTAGTTTTTACCTTAACCTGCATATAAGTTGAATTGTACCACCATTGTAATATGTAATGCCTAAATTAATTGGGATAGAGGAAGTAAGTGATTTCCTTACCACTTATATTTTCTATATATAGTAACCGAATGAGAAATACAACTGCAAATTTTAAAAATAACAAGAAAATTATATTGAAGAGCAAATCTAATTTATTCAAGAATTGTCATTGCTTTGTATTTTCTCTAACAAGAGTAGAAACAAACACAATCATTTTGTGGACTTTTTTCAACACATTTAGCATTTTGAAGAGTGCCTTTTGGGACTTTATCAGCACAAGCAGCAAAGCAAAAGGTCGGATCAATCACTTCACATTCTCCAGGAAACTCAATCTGGCATGAGCCTTCAACATGAACCATTGGCATCATTTTCTTATTAGCTACAAAAATAAAAGTAAAAATATTGTTAAATAATAGAAACAACTATACTAATAAAGCAAAATAATTTTTTTAATAACATTCCATCATCAAATATATTTGGTCCCTTAATAATTTAATTCTACCCACCCTATAATTCAGATAGATATTTACTCTATCCATCTTAGTATTTCGTATATTTTGTATTGCATATGAATACAACTAACGAAATATAATTTTAAAAGCTTCCAACAAAATAAAGATAATGAAACCATTTTTATAGTAATATTCATTACAATTTTTTTAATTGACGTTCAAATTTTGTTCAGTTTGACTTGAAAAAGTCAAACTTGACGAATACATTGAGACATAGTTAATATATGTTTTTTACCATGGACTATTCTTAGTTCACCCTTTAGAAGCAACTAGAATTACGACTTGACTAGTAAAATACTCCCTCCGTCCCAAAAAGATTGGGACATTTTGACTAAAGTGGTAAAATAAGGAGTGATAATTTTGTGTTGACTTTCCAAAAATACCCTTGATGTGATGAGTAAAAGTATGATGTGATGGTAGATTATTAGGAAAAAGGTATGATATGATAGTTAGGGTATGAAAAAGTAAGAGGTAAAAATGGTTTTTTAATAAAAATGGGACGGACTTTAAGGGACGCAAAGTTTTCGAAACGGGACTGACTTTTTGGGATAGAGGGAGTATATCATTAAATATTATTTAAAAAAAATTAGCTAGAAAATCAACACAATTTATTTTCAAAAAATAAAAGAAAGTGAGAGAAAAATGACATACCAGAGGCAACTGTAAAGGCAACCATAACAACAAAAGCAAAAAGAAATTTTTTCTCCATCGTTACTATGTCGTGATATTATGAGCTATAAGAACTCAAAAGCTTATTATTTGATGTGTATGTTTTTCTTGGAGGAGACTTATTTATACTGAAATATAATGTCTATAGACTTCAAAATTCAGAAACATTCTTTTATAGTAATCTAATAAATTTCATTCTTAATAATTATGTTTATAAAATATAATATAGCTAGAACCTAGTCATGCATTCGTAGTTAATTAGAAATTGATATTTCTAAAATATACTTGTATAGCATGCAATGAATTATTGACCTTAATTAGCATCCAAAAACTAACACTATTATGGTTCAAATAATTAGAGAGGAAAAATAATAATTTTGGCTAAAATCCATGATTGGTCCTTCGTCATTATGAGTTGTTGTTGGAATTGCGCACAGTGGAAAAACGAAGAAGGAAATCTGATTCGCAGCTTTGTTCTTGTTCTACTTATTACAGAAAGAGAGAGGGGCCTACTGTAACATCCCAAAATAGGGCCTAAAAGAATTCATTATATGATTAGTAAACTTTAATGATTCAATTTTATAATTTAGAAATAATTTTTTTTTAAACCATTAGTTTAAAATTATTAGAAGAAATTATATTGTTAGAACAAATTTTTAGAAGTACTAATTGATGTAGAATCCAATTTGATTAAAATTTGGGTAAAGTGGTTATTTGGACAACCCCGTATTTATGATATTGGTAAAACAAAAACCCATATATGTTAATAGAATTCAAGTGGTAGAAGCGGAAACGGGAGGAGGCTGTTTAGTACTACACCCGTGTTCAATTCTCACCTCAAGCCAAGTATGGAATATTTTTTTTTCTCCTTAGACAACAAACACAGTTTAAAAAAAACAGCAAGTCAGCAACCATGCGTAAAAAAATTGCAGATTTATTTCCAAACATCCTAATCAATATTTTTTTTTGGGACTTTTTGAGAATCAATTTCTAAGCTATTTTGGAGTCTTTTTAGTTACTTAAACACATTAAATTACTCCATATCAACCCAAACATCATCAAATATTCTAAAATATTTTTAATGGATATTGATGACATATTTGAAGAGTTTTACACTTCTCTTGATTCTTTTTTTTGATATGATCCTGATTTTATGATGTTAGAATCCTCCAAAAATAATCTAAATTATCATGATCAAGTTGAGGTAATCTTTATTGGTTGTTTCTACAAATTTTTACCTATAAATACCACCCAAACTCATTCATTTTTCTCCATTCTCTCTCCTTAAAATTGCAGCAACTTTTCTCTTCTTTATACTCTATATATCCATAAAAATATTAAGTTATTTTACTCCCAATACACTACCAAACCTTTCCCAAAAGACTAGAAGAAGTTAGAGCCAACAAGAGTTCGTTTAGAGCCCGTTTAAGGTAAGAAAACTCTCCTGAAAATCCTGCATTTTTTTTTGTGTTCTTCAAGTTATTAAGACACTTTTTGCTATTTTTTTTGTTCTTCGGTAAAGCTCCATAACACCTCTAAAGTCTCGGTTCCTTACTAGTCTTCAACAAGTCCGTTTCACTTTCTCTCTCGAACTCGAG